CCCGGCCGTCTCCCCTCCTCCGCTTCTATGACCAAACCTAATTCTTCATCCGACCCTGACAACCACGCTATCCTTCACTACCTCAAATACTTTTTGCAAAATCCCAATTCCGACTCCCCGCCACCTCCTCCTCCTAAGCAGCCGCCTCTTGCTATTGATCAAAAGCCGGGGTCAGGAATTCCGGTGCATGCAGGGGACGGAAAGAGAAAACAAGGCGCCAAGGCCGATGGTAGTAACGGTAATAGGAGGTTACAAGAGAATTTGTCCCAGGGTGAATTGGAGCTTGTGAATAAGAATGGCGTGGTGGTAGATTTTGCGGCACTGGAGAATAACGGGGATGAAGTATACAGTGAGGAATTGAGGAGGAGAACTGTTGGACTCGAGAGCGAGGACGAGGTTTTAGGTTTCGTGAGGAGCTTGGAGGGCCAGTGGTGTAGCAGGAGGAGGAAGAGGAAATATGTTGATGCTAGCGATTTTGGGGACGCATTGCCCGTTTCCTGGAAGCTCTTGCTAGCTCTTAGAAGACGGGATGGCCACGTCTGGGTTTATTGCCGCAGATACATAAGGTATTCCTTGTTTTTATGCACTTTTGCATTTTCTGCAATACATTGTTGGATATTTGCTTTCATATATGTTCATCTTTAACTTCTGTAGTTTGTATTTGTAATGAATCACTGATCATTGCTTCTCCCAGCAATCCCTAGCATTGAATTGGTTTGTTTATAAAGTCTGCAACTTATGCACAGGAATGCATAACTAATACTCCTAATGATTAGCCTCACCATTTATGTTAATGCAACAGGGTTCTATGGTTCATGAAAATGTTGTCATTTTCATGGCTCATGCTAGCTCTCTGGAAGTAATTCACTATCTTATTGCATGTCTGGCCATTTTGTTACACCAAGAGGATGATCTGGAAGTAATTCACTAATTCACTAATTCACCAATTCTTTGAATCTTGAAGGTTATATATTTGTGTATTTATCTGTATAGAAATTATGATCTGTATCACCTGTCACAAGGATTGATGTCTTACCAAAAAAAAAAGAAGGTTTAATGTAATGTTTATAATCCCATAGTCAAGATTGGTTCATATTTCCTTTGTCTTCAAATAATTATAGGTAAAAGAGACAACAATAATTCCAAGTTGGCAAGTTCTGAATTAATCTTAGACACTAAAAAGTTTGGATTATGATGGGTGCAACTGGAGCAATGAGCTTTTGCCAATTTCTGTTTTAAACTATCATTTACAAATTTCTCCAAATATGTGTTATATTCTCTTCTTTGCTAGCTGCCATGTGACCTTTCTCTCTATTTTTTAGCCCTACTGGTCAACAGTTTCTATCATGCAAGGAGGTAGCAGCCTTCCTGCGGTCCCATTTTATGTCCCTTGATGCAAATCAGTTCATGGATCAGAGATCATCCTCCATTATACAACTGAATGGTTCAATCTCAGAAAATGTAAGTATCTCACATTCTTTAGCAGCTTCAGATAGTGATAATACTCTGCAGCGCATTAACAGAGACACTTCAGAATGTAGGTTCTTTCCATGGTGATGATACTCGCAGTCGTGACTTAGTTGTCCATTCAAGTCTACCAAGTTCAACAACTGAGACACAGGGGAATGAACTTTGCTTGATGGGGATTGATAATCTTCCTGATGTTCAAGTTAAAGACCTCTTTGAGTGTTATAAATGCAACTTGACATTTCATGAAAAAGGTGCATATTTGGAGCATCTTTTATCATTTCACCAGCAGACTACAAAAAGGATTAAGGTCGGGCCATCTGTTGGTGAGGGTGTGATAATTAAAGATGGAAAGTATGAATGCCAATTCTGCCACAAGGTATTTGATGAAAGGCGTAGTTACAATGGCCATGTAGGAGTCCATGTGAGAAACAATAGTAAAGGTTCTGAAGGATTATTTGCTGTAGTTGCAGTGCAGAAGAGCATTGATACTCCATCCCAGAATGGTTTGCCTTCAACAACCTCTAAAATGGATGCTTTAATTGAAATTGCTCAGAATTCTATTTCAGAAACTGCAACAGCTAGACCTCCTGATATATCCACCATTAACCCATTACCTGGTACTGTAAACTCAAACGAAGTCGTGACTGCCAATACTGATCAAGAAATGGATCCAAGAACTGATCCAAAAGAGGTAGATTTGGTAGATTCCAAGGCTGAAAGCACTTTGGATTGTGACTTAAATCAGTATGATAAAGAAAACATGCAAACAGAAGATGATGAAATTGTGAAGAGTGGTGAAACACAGGTTATCGAGATTAATCCGACAGAAGCTCCAAAAGATAACTCTGAGCATACTGAGGCTAGTAACATACAAAGAGATGATACTGCAGAGCAGGATGTAGGCCTTGGAAACAGGCAGACTGAGCCAAATAACAGTAATGCCATAGCAGAGACTGTGGAGTTGACTCTTGAGAAAAATGATTTTCAGGAAGGGGTAACTGACTCTTCAATGCCCATTTCGGAACCATTAAACTACTTCTCTACCTTTGTAGCTGAGTCAAATAAGGTAATTGAGATTCTTGCATCTAGATCATCTATGCCAATGCACCCTTCTTTTTGAGGAAGTGCCACTTTGGGCTAGCTTTTCGTGGGGTGTTTTATGGAGTGCTGGTTGTTAAATCATTTCTAGTTATCACATTAATATGTATCCCTTGTTTGGAGCCTTGGCCAATTCTTCTTGGTTCTGAATCATTTCCTCGAGTCATTTAGGTGTGAAATGAAACCCCCTCAATAACATTGGTAAATTTGAGGTTTAGTCTTTTTCATATCCAATTGCAATTTCTAGAGATAATATGTAAGATAATTGTGAGCGGATTGTTCACTTGCAGATATTTTTGTTTAATATCCACTTGTTGTCAGAACAGGTCAACAGGCACTCCCATTTTGTCAACTCACTATTGATGTAAGAACGATACCTAGTGCACACAACAACTTTGGCATCAAAAGAGAGCTGAATGAAGAAATATGATCCAACTAGCCTACCCAACTAGATCCATGTGGCGAACCCAAGTAGATTGGGATTAATCCTTAATTTAGTTTTAGAAATTTTCTAAAAATTTTGAGGCATCTATGTTCTTCTATCATATCCTTGAATTTTTTACATAAATTTGTCAAATATGGAATGTATCATTGGATCAAGAATATGTGTTTAGAAAGTTTGTTTATTTTGTGCTTCGAATTAGTTATTCAAGCAATGATCTGATTTGATGAGGTACCAATCTAGTTTTGTATGCTCATATACAGGAACAGGATGGATTTTCTGTGTTGGAGCTTGGAAATGAAACAGGCTTCGAGGAGCTGACGTTGGATGATATAGAACCATTTAAATATGACTTTTCTGAGGGGCAAGGGTCGCCATCTTTGCCTGGAGTCTCTGTGGGTTTGGATAATGGTTCTGGGATGGAAGAGACTTTTAACTCCTCCCTTGGATTTGGTTCAGAGGAAGCTGTCTTAGGAATGGCTAACGCACATCAGCTTACAACTGTGTGTGTATGGTGCCGATCAGAGTTCATTTTGGAAGCTTTTGAATCAGAAACTCAGTCAGATTCAATTGGATACATGTGTCCAGAATGCAAGGCCAAAATTTCTGGGCACTTGGACAGTGGTCTTTCCATGAGTTCTCATGGATTCTGATCTGTGTTGATGTCATATCTGTGTTGTTGCGAAATATCCTAATTTACAAGGTATTTCTCTCCTGTTAAATAAATAGCTACTTTTTCCTTCAGTTCTGATATTGCATAATAAAAAAGTCTCTGATTTATACTACTACTACTACGTGATTTATATTCCACCATCACCATATGCGAGAAGTTCATTTTCACTACAGCCACCACCCTCTAGAACAGTGCAGAGTTGTAGTTCACCAGTGACCATTTTCATTGGTTTTCATTGCAGAGTGGCAGAGTGGTATACTTGGTGCGAGAGGCGAAGCGGGTGTTGGGGTGTAATTACTCTTTTGAGAAGGGATTGTCATCATCTAAGCATGCATGATCGTATGCGAATGCCATTCCAGAATGTGGGGCGACGACGTAATTATATTTGCATTGTGCATGTTAGGTTTATCAATGGCAGCAGAGTAGGGTTTTAGAACAAGGATTGGTGCAGACTATATACAGAAATCTAAAGTATGTCGCTAAATATAATGTAGATATATCCATCTGTTTACATCCTCTCATGCCTCACTTTCTGATGGTCATATTTTAATATTCATCACCCCTATCCTCTGCATTCCCCAGTGCTAAATGCCATTATTTTTTGATAATCAAAAGTGACCCATAAATTTGAGCATCTGATTCCTTGCACTATATGTGGGCCTTTTGCCAAAGTGATTTTGCCTCTGAGTTTATCATTTCCTTACATCGTAGACAAGCATCTCAATTAGTGAGATTAAGGAAATGACCTTTTGAGATAATTACTGAGATTAAGACAAGCATCTCAATTAGGCAAATGATAAACTCAGAGGCAAAATAAGTGAGATATCACGACCATGGTAGACAAGCATTAGGGGTTAGGTAAAAATCGAACTTGTGACCTTTTGAGTGTATTTGGTCAACAAGGCACCATGGTCGTGGTGCCGAGTCGTTACTCAAATGTGCGCTTTGGATGAAGTTCGTCTTGTGAGTTGTGACCCTAGCCATTACTCAAAGGTGCGTTTTGGATGAAGTTTGTCTTGTGATCCTAACTGACAAATGACCATAATAAGATAAACTAGCTTAAGTTGTCCATAATTTATCGATTTAAACTAAGAAGACCAATAGACAGCTCTCACGGGATGTTAAACTTAAAATTTTGTGATTATCAAGCCACTATCCGACTAACTTGGTTGGGATTGTTCCGATGGTAATTGATAAATTACCACTATTTTAAGTTCAAATCTTATCGCTCTCCCCACCACCCTTATTCTCCGATTTAGTTGTACCCCACCTCCTCTTCCCCCCCCCCCCCCCCCCCCCCCCTTCCCCCCCAAAAAGAAAAAACCACCGAGCATCTTGTTATTTGACAACACTATGCAAAGAAGATTGTTCAATGAGTTAGAAAAGGTGCTAAATGAGAAACAGAATCAATCAAAGGAACTGCAAATCTGAACGTAACTTTTGCAGAAGTGGAAAGCATTTCCACACGACAGATTGTGATTTCTTTGTGTTTGTCTGGATGATTATGATTTGTGCAGCTGCCCAGTTTACATAACAAGCAAAGAAAGATCAACAGTGGTGGAACATGGCGGCTCTGACCTGCAACTTATGTGGGCAAGAACTGGCAGTGCCACCACATAGTCGAGTAATCCGCTGCAGAAAATGCAACACTGTCATTTCCCTCGGGGATGGACAACAACAAGAGATGGCGGTCCAAGAACAGGGAAGCTCCGCGAGTTTTGGGAGGAGGAGATTTCTGCAGGTATTTAACAGGTTTTCATGGGGTAACTCTCCTCAATCCCCTTCTCTAAGCTCCAGTCTTAACCAGTCAGTGGCGGGCTTACAGCCCCCGCGAAGTGGGAAACGAGCCCTTCTCTGTGGAGTGACTTACAAGAATAACAGGTTCAAGGTGAGGGGAAGTCTGCAGGATGTGAAGAGCATGCAGGAATTACTCCTTCAGCATTTCAGCTTTCAACAATCCTCCATTCTGGTTCTTGCAGGTATATATTGATGCCAAATATCTGTCATTACAGTTCAAATCTTATGTTAAATTCGCTTGGTTAGTCGCTAAGATTGTTCGAATTGCAGAAGAAAAGCCATATATACCTCCAACCAGGAAGAACATCATAGAAGCTCTCAAATGGCTGATGAAAAACCTGCAGCCTGGAGACTCCTTGGTCTTCTACTTCTCTGGACATGGCTTTAGACAACCCAACTTTGCTGGGGACGAGCTCGATGGATTTGATGAAACCATCTGTCCTCTTGACTTCAGGACTGAAGGCATGATTCTCGATAATGCCATTAATGACATCATTGTTAAGCCGCTAGCTCCAGGAATCAAACTTCACGCTATTGTGGATGCATGTCACAGCGGGACTGTTCTTGATTTGCCACGCCTCTACAAACGCAAAGAGTAAGCATATGCTATTGATTTCTCGTCTTAAACCCGTAATCTTAGGTTCGTTGAAGCATACCATTGTCTGCAGATCAAGAATTCTGAGAAAGAAACTACAGAAAAAATGTATGCAACCTTATATTGTGTTTGCTGCTGAAACAGGAAGAAGTGGACCGATAACAAACCTCCATCTGGTGCTTGCAAGAGCACTAATGGTGGGATGGCAATCTGTTTGAGTGCTTGTCAGGATTATGAACTTGCTGCAGATACCAATGTACATAATACTTCTCCATCATGTTCTTACATCTTTGGCCAAATGTTCAATGCAAATACTGTTTCTCAATTTTTTTTAATCAAATCTGAGCAGGCTTTTTCTTCTGGAAAAGACACGACAGGGGCAATGACCTACACATTGATCAAGGCAATCAAGGAAAAACCAAACATAACATATGCTGGCTTGCTCGATTATATGCACGAGGCAATTGAAGCAGTAAACAGAACCAGAAACCGCGTGCTGAAAGTTTTCCAACCCAAGATGGAGCAGGTACTAGGCTAGCCAGCCTCCTCTAACCCGCATTTACTTCATTTCTCCAGTTTTCCGATTGTTCATTCATCGTGTATTGCAACGTGCAGGAGCCTGCATTATCATCTTCTGAAGATTTTAACATCAACCAGAAGCTGAGCCTCTAGTTCTTTACACTCTCTGCAACACAAACATGAATTTGGATGATATCATGTATTAAATTCCATCCCCATAACCCAGTAAAAACAGTTTTAGATTAACAACTACTGTACATTGTATCCTCAGCATCTTTCTTGTTTGAAACATTATACTGTATATTTAGAAAAAAAAAATTGTACTTCAATGAAATGTATGACAGAAACAGACCCCAACTTGGTTTACTGTATAGCTAAAATGCGATTCCATTCCTATGTATTAAAAAGTTATTTGGAATGAAAGGTGTGAGAAAGGTGAAACATGACTTTCGTATTTAAAGGTCACAAGTCGACCCCTTCACACAAGATTTTCTTAATGCGATTTACTTTTTCTATATTATTTGCAGGCTATTACATAGAAGCAAAATTTACCACAGTACAGATCCTCAAGTAGTAACTGCAAGTTTCTCTCAGAAAAAAAAAAAAAAAAAAGTTATAGAAAGAAGATGTGAGAATAACACTCCATATTGTTCTGATGATATGCATATCATTGCTGGAGTTCCACGCCAAAGGAGAATTTATGCAGCCAAACAAATTGGTTTTCTTGTTTGCTTTTCTGCTTTTCACACACGGCTCTATCGTAGTACGTGCTTGTTCAGACATAGTGGGCAGATTCCTTGTACGCACCAACATTTGACCCTCTCTGCTGAATCATTGAGTCACGTAATTTACATCCTCTTAAATGTTTTGTCGGCCTGTCAAGCCGAGGTATGGGGGCCGGGATTCAACTTTTTGGGAGAAGATTTGTTTATCTGTCAACAAGTGTCGATTGAAAATGCTTATGACAAATGTTGACGTGACATGATCTTTGATTTACTACGTGAAAATGGAACCTGGTTCTCCACCAACTTCATGGGCTCTACCACTCCAGAGGTTCTGAAATTGTGAAATCATCTCATCATGTTAGGCAATTATTCCAATTTCCTCATTAAACATAGAATATCCCACACTATATATATATACACCACCTTTCTTCATTGAAATCACCATAACCATAAAAAGCTTGCCATTATTCAAGAAAACTTCCTGCAAGAACTTGACATGGCAACAATGAGAGAGAGGTGCAGGTGGTGTGGACTATTGCTGGAAGTCCCTGTTCAGGCACAAACCATAATGTGTCCAGGCTGCCACACTCTCATTCAGCTCCAACGAAACGCCCCTACCTATGCCGCTTTACCCACCACATATGGCTATACCAATCCAATGCCTGCACCTGCAGCCAATGGCGGTTTACCCACCCCGTATGGCTACACCAATCCAATGCCTACAGGCAACAACGTTTATCCGGTGGAATCTTACTATGCACCAGCAGCCCCACCTCGAGTGCAGAATAACAGGAGACGAGCTCTTCTCTGTGGGGTGACCTATCGAGGCCACAAGAAGAGCCTTAAAGGCAGCATTAACAACGTGAAATGGATCCGAAATCTTCTGGTTGAGAATCTGGGATTTCCAACTTCATCCATTCTAATCCTCACAGGTAAATGCTTTATTCAAATATGTTCTGTCTCAACTAAAAGTTCAAGCTAATAGTAACATGGTAAAAATGAACATGTTGCAGAGGATGAGAGAGACCCTTACAGGAAACCAACCAAGGCCAACATCAGAGAATCCTTAAACTGGTTGGTGCGAGGTTGCCAGCCAGGAGACTCATTGTTTTTCTACTATTCCGGGCACGCCTCACAAGTGCTTGACCGTGATGGCGATGAGATGGATGGGTTTGATGAATCACTGTGCCCTATGGACTATGAGACAGAGGGGAGAATACTAGACGATGAGATCAATGAAAAAATCGTAAGACCATTACCTCGTGGAGTCACGCTTCACGCTGTCATGGATACCTGCTTCAGTGGAACCTTCCTGGATCTGCCATTCATGTGCAGAATGAACAGGTTAGTTACAAATTATAATCTCATTAAACTCAGTATATAATCCAATGGTAGATTGTGATGGATTTACTAACTTGAATCAGGGATGGCTCTGCTAAGTGGGAAGATCATCGCAATCCTTATAGCGCATATAAAGGTACCAGCGGAGGAACAGCAATATGCATTAGTGCCTGTGATGATCATCAGAACTCTGCAGATACAACGGTTAGTACAAGGATCTGTTCCATCTCAACTAAAAATTTAATCTTTTTTTTTTTTGAGAACTAAAAATTTAATCTAACAATGATACATTCACTTGAACAATACTTGTCATGGTTTTGATGCCTTGCAAAGAAACCGAGACTATTGCAGAAGAGAGGCATATACATATACATATACTCATCCACACAATTTTGCAGGCTTTCACAGGCACTACAATGGGTGCCCTGACTTTTAGCTTCATCGAAACATTAAAGCAAGAGCCTAAGATGACATATGGTCGATTACTTATGTCGCTACGCGAGCTGATTGATGAAGCGCAGAGGGGGATATTCCATGATGGAAGAGCTGCAACTCAGGTAATACTAGTAACCTCGATCATTTATGCTTTTGCAGAGGCTATTCATGGTAATGGGGGTCGGGTTTCTGCAGGTGCCTCAGCTGTCATCTTCAGAGCGGTTCGACATTCACTCCAAGATTATGAATCTGTAGGAACTCAGATGGTCAAAATATAGGCATCCCTGCATCACTGATTTACTGGAAATAAGTTACTTTCCATGGTGTTATCTTGTAATACTAGCTTCTATTATGTATGGTGACCAAGTACAATAAACTCGACAAGTTCTCACATTCTTCCAAGCACCATTTTTCAACTGCAAGAACTTTACAGAAGACTAAAGCACCAAATTTGAACTAATAATCCAACATGACAGATGATGAGCAATAAGTTTAGCAGTGCAACTTTAAAGAACATTTTATGCAATTTGATAAATATTCATTTGTCATAACAGTTAAATCCATCAACTCAAAGATTGAAATGAACTGACACTGAATCTGGTTCTGCACTAATTTCCTGGCTCTACCTTGAGATTCTCAGTTTGTCATATCATTTAAAAAAAAAAAAAAAAAACAGTTCTTCCATTAAGACTGCACAATATGAATGGATCAAACCCAAGAACTTTTCTCGGACTATATATGCCTTACTGCTTTTCTTTGGAATCATCATAACCATAAAACAGCTTGTATTAGTGGCACAGTACATACACACTTTCATGATTTTGATATCATTAAACTAGTCTTGGAAAGAAACTGAAACTATAGCTGAGAAGTAATATATATATATGAATGAGAATATCCTGTAATTTTACATGATTTTGCAAGTAATTGACAGGCACTACAACAATAGAACACCTGACTAAATGTTTCGTGAAAACTATAGAGCAAGACTGAATTGACATATGGTTGATTGCTAAAGTCCCTGTGCTACCTAATCGGTGAAGAACAGGTCCAAACTAGTAGAAATGAAGCTCGGGTAGTACTAGTCTTCCACGAGGTTGTTCACTATGGAATCTCGATCATTTTATGCCTATTTGGGCGTAATGGAGCTTTGGTATTCACAGGAGCTTCAACTCTCATCTTCAAAGATTTAAGACTCCATAGGAACTCAGGCAGTAAAATGGAGTTAACTAAAGCATCAATTTGAACCAAGAATGTATAGTACCAGTACCGGTGTTTCAGTTGAGGAGCAAGAGGGAGGTGCGAGAAGCAGTGCACCAACGAGTGTAAATATCATGGAGGTTTGGCCAGTCGGATGACGGGCAATAAGTGAAGTGCTGGAGCCAAAGGGACAGCACTTTTTCTTGCTCTTCTTCATCCAACGTGTTTATTATCAGCTCCAACGTTCTCTCTAGCTCCGCTCTCTTGTTGATGCTCAAAACCGGAGTGTCTGTGCCATTGCTTGCGCGGCACAGCAGTGGCAGCCATGACACCAGCATATTCATGTTTGTTTGTCTTAGTTCATCATATTTCATGCTTTCTTCATCTGCCTCTTTCCACAACTGTCTTGCTTGATCCAATAAGAATGCTACAATATAAACAAGAAGAGATGCATATTATTTGGAAATACTTAGGCAAAAAAGTAGAGAGAGTACTCTAGTTAAAATAAATAAATAACATTAAGTTTCTAATATATTAGGTGGTCTGCACCGATAATACTAGATACAATCATCATTTATATACATATATATATAGAGAGAATCACCTCACCTCTAAAAACTTGAGACTGTAATTACAATTGTGCATCTTGTAATGTCTGATTGTGTATTTGTGGATAATTAATTGTGCATTTTGAAACATTTCCCCAAATTTACTCAATTATTTTTCAAATGCAAATGTCACTGCTTTTTTAAGAAAATAAAAAATAAAAAATTCAGCAATGGATTATTTTAAATAGACGGATGAGATTAGTTCTCACCAACAGTAATTCTTATTTGATCCCAATCTTTTTATATATATATATATATATATATATATATATATAGATGGAGTTGGGTCATTATGATATATATAAATTTCTATCAAATATTAAACATACTCCCAAAAATATAAATCCCATTAATTTTTTCTTTTACAAAGTTTTTTATGAGAATTTCTTTTAAAAAAATAAATCTACCCAGAGAATATTCCACAACTGAACGCGGGAAGTTACCTGAGACTTTGACCAACGCGCCTTGAAGCCGCGGCTCAGCCGAAAGAGAAAGCCGAGCCAAATGTTGAGCAGAAGACCACCTACGAAGAGCATCCTCCGAACAGCCGCAAGCAGTCATTTTCTGAACCAGCCACAGTAGCTCCGCCGCCAGCTTCTCAGCCGAGACCTCCGATCGGCTTAGCTCATCCCTCGCGCTCAGGCGCCGCCGCACGAGATCCCCGTAAAACTTAGCCGCTCTTACAACGCGGCGAAGCCCCCGGTAGTAATCGTCGATGACGCTGCCGCCGCCGTCTGGAGTCCCAGTTACGACGTGACTCCCGCCGTGGTCGATCACGGCGGATTCAAGCTGCTTGAGCGTCCGGCAAAACGCCGCCGCCAACACCGTGCGATTAACTTCCTGTAGCGCTTTGTTCCCATCTAGAAGATTGTCGTCTATCAGCCTCTCGGCCAACGATCTCACCACTTCATACTTCCGGGAACTCACCGGAATATCAGTCACAATCGACAAAACTTGCGTCAGAGCTCTAGCAATACCAGGCTCGCCTCCTCCCCCGTCGGCAACAGGGCAAAGAGCTTCCCCTCTTTTGGAGTTGAAACAGAATTTGTAACTTTGAAACGGTGAAGCGTTGAAAGAGGGGAAAAGGGAGGGCAAAAGGCGGAGGAAGAAGAGAAAAGCGGAGACGAGGAAGCAACGAATAAATTGGAGATGCTTACACTTGTCTACAAATACTATCAAGGGCTTGTCGGCGTAGAAAAACAGGGAGGTTAATAGGGTTTTCAGAACGGAAAAAGCCATGGCGGTCGGTGAGTTCTCCATCGTCAATCACCGGGCCTGAAAGATGGGATTTTGATTTGATTTTATGCTTTGCTGTGATGGAAACTGTAGATTTTCAGCAATTATGGTGAACGGCACAAAAAGACAATATAGAAACGGTTGCCTAACTTGGCCGATACCAGGAAGGAAAGGGCCGCCGCAATGGCGGCGGGTTTCTTGCTGGGCATTTATTTGCACGGAGGACACATTTGGGATTTTTTTTTTCTTTCCATTCAATGCTGAAATAAAATAAAAAGAATTAATTTCACTTTTGGTCCCACGACTTTTGATGTTCTATCACTTTTGGTGCACAACTTTAAATTTTTTTAATTTTGGTGCCTAACTTTGTTTATTTTATCAGTTTTGGTCCTTTTGGCGAATTTGACAGCGAAATGTTGCTGGATTTTATATTGTTAGGGGTAAAATCATCATCCCAAGGCAACATCTTCAATATCTAAACAAAATCATCCTGTAAAATCATATCTATATGTGTTTGATGATGAGAATAATGTGGAAGACGGGCAGAAACCAGACAGATCTATGGGATTTATAGTTTCGACCATTGGCAAACTCTTTTTTTCCTCTTAATATGGTTTTTCTTTTGTTTAAATATTGAAGATCTTTCCATGGGATGGCGATTTTGCCCCTAAAATATAAAATCCAGAAATATTTTACCGTCAATTTGGCTGGAAAGACCAAAACTGATAAAAATAACAAAGTTAGGCACCAAAATTAAAAAAATTTAAAGTTGTGCACCAAAAGTGATAGAACATCAAAAGTCGTGGGACCAAAAGTGAAATTAATTCAAATAAAAATACTCTTATTTTTGCTTTTTCTTTTGAAAATAATTAGATAAATTGATTTTTTAGTACTACAGTTACAAGGACTATTTACAACTATGTTATGTTATGTTCTCAGTAAATTTGGCCATAATCAATAATGCCTCCACTGGAGCTCGAATTTACAATTTACAACCTTCTAAGTGAAAGTCTAACCCGGATACCATTAGACCATATAGTCTTGGTAATCACATAATATGCTTAATTATATCAAATAATATTTTATTAGTATCCAGTATAATTCAAATAACATTCAGAAATGCTGGGCACAATCTTCTAGAAGAGTGCGGTATAATCCTTTTCAAAGTTCATCCTACTCTCCCGAGACTCAACACTAAACTGTACACTACTACTTCTGTACATGGGCATTAGTATAATTTCTCATGCATTATACTAATGCCTAGGGGCAGATAGCACTTTAACAGGCTTAACAAACCAAAGCCAAAATCTCATTAATTGCCTCATCACACCAGACAACAGTCTACATGGCTTGTGATTCAACACAAAAAAAAACAGGGTTCATGGATTCATCGTCATATTACAACAATTATATACACAGCTGAACCTCAAACATGAGGGTAAATCTGTCATCAGCGATATCCACCTGTTATTCGAGTCTGTTTTTACCCGAAAAGGTTCACATATGGAGCAGGAAGTGCTCGTCGGTTTTCATAGTCTCTCTTGTGTCGGTGCTATATAGTATCAAATACTAATCAGCTTCTTCAGTCTCTTTTCAGCCAGCTTTGCAATCTTGTTCTGTGGTTCCAGAACATGGGCATGCCTGAAATCTGAAAATATTGAATAGACATGAATTCATTTGCCGGGAAAGGGCGTCCATTAAATTGTAATATGCCCAAAAGGAAATGAGAAAACAGATGCCTTTTACATCTTGCAAGGAAACGCGTTGTACTCACCTTGAAGAGCTTCTTTCTTCAAAAGAAGGGACTCCCTAGCCGTCCCTCGTCTCAGATATGCCTTCACATTCTACACCCAAAAACAAAAGGTTTCAAACATTTTAAGAAAACATCAACAAGATCAACATCTAGGTAGGAACTCAGACTAAGAAGAGGTCTGTTTCGAAACATTGTGAACATATAACATTAATGTGCAGTCCAATTATCAGCTTAAGCTTTTAGTTGAGATGGAGCACATGCTTCAATTTGGTATCAGAGCCAGACCAAAGGTCATGAGAGTCGGGACTAGAGGCAAAACACAAGTTCCTTTCTCGGAAATCACAATATAAAATAGAAAAGAATTTCCTTTTACCTTTATATCGAGAGAAATAGCTTTGGTGCAGTCCTCTTCTGCTTGTTGGAAGCTGCAGAAATATTAAATACTTGGCAAAACACCATTTTACCCCAAAAAGAAAGCAACGAAGTAAAAAAGGTACATCATACCATCCCAATTCCAAGTAAGCAGCTGCCCGGTTGCTATAGTAAGTTGCATTCATATCATTTAATTTTATTGCCTCGGAGTAGTAGCTTACAGCCTTATTCCACAGCCTTCCCTTATATGCAGCATTTCCCTGCAACAATGATAATGATGATTCACAAACATAATCCAACGCCCCAATTCGTTCTCAATCCTCCAAGGGGGAAGACAAGTGACAAAACTTATCAAGAAAACATTTTTCTTCGGAGTTAGAAAAGTGCAACCTTTTCTTTCAACAGTTCAGATGCATCCATGCTAACAACCGTTTCTGGTAAAGCGGATACATTTGAAGCCATTCTTACTTCTTCTTCAAGCGATGGATACATATCTCGTATAGTATGAAGCAAAAAGTTATCACTTCCATGTGATGCAATGAAAGACACGGAGACTGGATAATTATCATGTTCTCCAAATGGAATGGCAGCCTGAAATTCAAACAGATAACCTAATGTCCATTACTATGACATGCATACTTATTAGAGAGAGCAGCAAGAACCGAATCTGAGATTTATAGAATTCAAGTACCTGACAGCAGCCCGAAATACTGGCAATGCTTAATATAGCAAACGCTCTGTCACGAGCTTCCATGGATAAACCTTTCTTTGAAGGTAGTTTAGATGGAGGATCTGTAATTGTGGGAATCACTAATATCCCGTCATCCTTTAGAATAGAATAATTTAATTAGATATAACCTTAAAATAAGCATACAGCATATGCAGTAGGCATTAGTTTTTTGAACCCGCTAACATACTTAATGCAAATGAGTAGCAGTAAAGTTTTACCTTCAAGAGATTCTTGAAAGCAGTTCGGGTTTCTGTCCTGACTTTATAAAGGAGCTTAATATTTTCAGGGGTTAAGGTGGCAGCTGCAGCAATACAGCCCGAGACATCAGGATCTAACCTGAGTTTAACTTCGTTCATCCATTCTTCATAATTTGTCCTGAACTCATAGCTGAAAAGACATTTACAACACTTCACGAATGTTGATCACAATTTTTGAGAAGATTAAAAAATAATTTAGTTTTAGTATAACAGCTTTCTGTATTGTCTCTTCCTACCGTCACTCAATCAGATAACCGAATAAAAATCATGTAAGCATGTACCTCAGCAGAAGAACCATCACAGAGGAGAGAGCTCTAAAAGTAGACATCCCATGATGGTGATTTATAGATTCTTCACAAAAAACTTTCAAGCTGGGGACATTTGAAGCAATGTACTTTCCAAGATTCATATCTTTTGGGGCCTGGCCTGCACAATCAATTTAGAAATAATGTCACTCACACAAGCATAATAGGACTCGGAAGAATAGTAGCATGTGCCCTAAAGTAATAGAAAGCCTTCCTGAAGAATCTGGGGGGAAAGAAAATGAAATTGATAACACAACTAAACAAAGTGCAACTTACAACCGGATATTTTTTCTGTGACTTTTCTTACTACATGGACAATCTTCTGCTTAGGAACCTTAGACAGTTGGAAAAGATCATCAGCTATAATGAAGCGTCTCATCCTTTTAGGTACAGTGGGGGCTAACTGAAGTAAAATACGTCCAATTTTACACAAAACAGAAGGATCGCGGGCAAACCAACCTGTAAAAAATAGAATTTCATATTTTTTCTAATTGACAACATATGAACAAAAGTTTCGACTTCAAAATATGAGAAATTGGGACAAAGATCAGTAAGTCACCAAAATGGCAAAATTTGACAGGAAAAAAAAAAAAAAAAAAAAAAATTCTTTTAGCACATTTTAAATGCATAAGTGCATAACAAAACTGCTTTCCACATGACATACCTATGGTATCTAAACTTTGGGAAACTGGCAGAACGCCAGTAGTTGACACAATTCCGTGAGATGGCCTAAATCCAAGGACACCACAAAATGATGCTGGAACTCGAATGCACCCAGTGGTATCAGTAGCTGCAAAATACGTGTTCTGTTAAGCATTCAATATCTTCCCATCAAAATATCAAACAAAACAGCGTACCCCCACTGCTCCACAAAATTTCCGGTACATTTCACTAAGATCAGATGAATGGGAAATTTAAACACCCCATCTATTACATATTTGAAGTTCTGGATACCACGTTGTAAAGTATAGTTCACCATGCCTCAGTAACATACGTTTTAAGGCAAGAAATGCATACCAAGAGCAAAGTCAACAAGATTGGATGCAACAGCAACCGCTGAACCACTAGATGAGCCTCCAGGAACATGAAATGGCAATTTGGGGTTAGTTGGTGTTCCATAGTGCACATTTCTTCCAGTGATCCTAAAATTATGGTCCAACAAAAATTGTCACCAATTCCATCTGTTTGCCATGTCAGATTATCTTAAACTCCAGAATAATCCAGGAATGGTGGGAAGACATAATAACAAGAAAAAAGAAAGCCATAAGCAGAACTACAAGTGACCATGATGTTTTTCATGAATCATGCACAACTTTCCATCAAGTTCTATTTTTGCACTGAAATGTGAAAGCTTTACACAGGCACATTTAATAACAATAAAAGAATTAGTATTCTACTCCAAATGTAGGCATAGAAGATTAGAAGTAAAAGCTACCCCAAACCAAGTTCATCCATAATCGTCTTGCCAATGCAAGTAGCTCCACTCTTCAGTAGAGCGTAGACTACCGCCGCCGTCTCTGCAGCCGCTTCATGTGTCCGTTTCCACTCTGGGCTCCCAAGCCCCGTTACGTACCCCTTCACATCAATACTAGAAAAAGAAACAATAAAAAGTTAAAGAAAAGTTCAGAGAGAAATCGGTCCACATTTCACATAGGGGGAGGATTAATGGATTATAGACTGACTTGTCTTTGATGGCAAACGTGAGGCCGGCGAGGAGGAGCGGAGCAGCGGGAGGAGGGGGTTGAGGAAAAGGAAGCAACTCGAAACGCTCGATGAAGGCCCCAAAATCTTCCTTAATCGCGTCACTGGCACTCAGCCGGCGGCGGCGGTGGACCTCGGCTAGAATCACGATCCCGGCGACTCCAACGCCTATCACCACCCAAAGCTTGGGATTCGAGGCGCTGAGCTTCGACAGCTTTGTCATGGCCGGAAATGTCCGCCGGTTGGTGGGCTAAATTTAGGGTTTTTGAAGGGTTTAAGAGAGTTTTCTAAAACTCAGAAAGGGGATTGCAATTTGCAACCTCGCAACAGTGTAAACCATCAAAGGATGCGCGCGCGTTGTCTAGACTCGATAAACTTCCTCCTTTCTCCCCACACCGAATCACAATGAAAAGTTGGCAAAAACCAAAAGATCATACCTTTCATTCCGCGGCAAACATTACAGGTTTTATCGGTCTCTGTCCTTTATGATGTTTTCTGACGCAACACGTGTTGTCGTAAGGCGCAGCAAAACGACAGAAAAAAATTGGAATAATCGTCAAATTTGTATCCAACCACACAAGAAAATGCAATTCTTTTAATTACCTTGGGCCAAAAAAAATTATAGTAACTCACCTACATTTTAGATAAGAGAATTAGTGTCCCATACCCATAAGACCATACATAATAATAGAAAGATATATAATAACTCAACAACATTTTAGATGGAGAATCAGTGTTGAGTGCTCGTAAAACCCTATATAATGATAGAAATAAATCATGATAACTTAAATAGTCAGTTCCCTTTTAGGTAGGAGAATTCGTGTCTTACTTTTACAACGGCAGACTATTAAACTAGTTTCAATATCTTACCTATAATATAAGAAATATAATCTCTCGAGTTGCAAAAGGGTATGGGAGCGATTTTATAGCTTAGCAAGATAAACATGCAACTTCGAGTAGGAGATTACGAGTTGAACCTTTTAAATGTAGTAAAAAAAAAGTCTCTAAAATGAGCTTTTGATCATATAAAGAAACATTAAACCTCTGCATCAATGGCAGAAATAATGTCTGTATTATTGCATTTTACTGGACAGCATGAGGAGCTTCTCCATGTAAGTTTCCAACATGATATGAAGCTATGCCCCCAAGATTTCCAGGAAGATTACAGAAAATCATTAAATAATCTACAGAATGAAGGAAAGGGGCACCAATAATCTCTGCATAATGAACTTCTGCAGAATTCTTTTCATGTCCACAAAATCAGGTCCCCTCCTGTTCTATATATATACTGCTTTTACTCTTTAAACCGGACAACGATGCAAGAAATATCGTCTTTACTTTCTCTGTTTAACGCCTCCATGGCCAATTTCTTGGCTGCTTTCTGTGGATTCTTGGCCTTCTTAGCAATATCCACTGCTTCTTGATTAGACATCACCTGCATGAAGATCAAACAGTCAAAAGTGCAGAAAGAAATCGGAGAGGGGGGGGCCGGGGCTGTGTTGAGAGAGGGAAAACGCACCTTCCATAGGCCGTCGCTTGCAATGATGAGAAGATCAACGTCACCATCAATGTCAGCAGTAGTAACATCGGGATCAGATCGCAGGAATTTCTTCAGATTTTTGTCTCCAAAAGCGCGAGAAACAGCTAGCTGACCATTCACTCTTGGAACATCTCCTAAGATAACATGAAATGTATTGTTAAGAGTCCAGTTTATAAGGGCATGAGTTAGACTAGCTAATTGATTGGATTCAGTCTTAGCTGTCCCACGTGGCCCAATCTTAGATTATAACATGGTATCAGAGCATAAGTTCAGATTATGTAACAGCACCTGGAATGTTTGTGACAAAACCGCCCCGATCTTCAATGCTCTCGTGCTCAGCATTGGGGTCGTGATCAACTGACATCTGCACCGCTACCCCTTTCCTCGAAAGGACAGCTCGTGAGTCCCCAACGTTAGCCACCCACAGCTTCTGACCATTTACAAGAATCGCGGTGACAGCGGTGGATCCCCCGGTGCCTATATCAGGGTTGTGTGAGAGAATCGCCTGGTCTGTTTTCTCGTAAGCTTTTAAGATCGACCTGTGAGGATCAGTCCAGAAGTCCTCCTGTATTGCTAATGGTATGTTAACAATAACAAGATTTATATGTTTACCAGTAAAGTAAAGCCCGGTTTCATGGATGCTTTATCGAACTAACCTCCTTGAGAATATTGGGAAATAAATGGTTCTGTAAATATGCAGCCACACTCTCCCCCAGATGCCCATCATAAACTGCAAAGAGGCCAAGTTCATTCCTTTCAATCTGAACAAACTTGGCAACATGATAATCCTCCATGGGATGATTCGCTTTCCCCTTGACTAGGGAGAACCCGTATTTGGTGGCCTCGTGCTGCTGGCTTCCCCCCTTGCCAATGTCCCACGACGACTCTCCTCTTGCAAGCTAAAATGGCAAATAACACATCAGCTCTGAGCAATGTTGAAAAAATCGCTAGGCGCCCTCTAGGCGCCTGGGGACCGCCTAGGGCGCCTAGGCCGCCAAGGAGGCCGAGCGCCTAGCGCCTAGGCGCGATTTTTGCAACACTGGCTCTGAGACTAAAGCAAATGCATTCTGCAGAGTTCCCACACACACAAAGAACTAAAAAGACGATTCTTTTGAAATCCTCAACATAATGAAGAGAATCCAATGGAAGATGTACAATAGAGCCACAAAAGACTGGTCTTTTAACAACATTAGATAACATAGAATTCAAAAGGAGATCCATAATTTCTGGTATGTTAAGAGCAAAAACGACGAAAGGTCTGGGAAATGTATGTGTGAATTTATCTGCATATATAAACTCTGCTAGTTCTATCAGAAGATCTCAATGCAAGGATAAAAACGGTCACATTTATCAAGACGTAGTACCACATAAACAAGAAACAAATAATCATGCTCTAAAACCTTCCCAGATAATCCAGTAAGAACACTCATGGAATTCTAAACAACACTGTTTCATAAGCTGAAAGCCTCTAATATCAAAACTATACATTCCACCTAAAACAACATATTGGATCATCAGCCTTATGGTAACAACAACAACAACAAAAATATAAGGCAACTTCAGCCAAGTTGGTCAGGCTGTTGACGACTCCTAGATGGAGTGGCCTCTTGGCCTTTTTGGTTCGAGCCGGTTAGCTACGGACAACTAGTCTGGTTTATCGGGTAGGGTCACAAGGCGAGTTTATCCGCACACTCTCGGATAGTGGCTACGGGTTTCCCGTTATTAAAAAAAACAACAACAATAACAAAAATAAGTATATGAATACATAAATCTAAATGAACCAGAAAAACAGACAGTTATGAAATCTCACCTGAGAACAGACAGAACTGAAACAGAACAAACTATCCATATAATTCAGCCTCTTCCCCTACTATCTTTCACCCTGGAATTCAAACCTAAAAAATTAAAATAGTCTTCAGATACACAGACAAGATCATTTTTTAAAAAAAGAATAAAGAAACAGGAAATACCAGTCACTGATACACCAGCCCTTTGAACTTTCAGTAAAAGACAAGGAAGAAAAAAAAAAACAGGATTTTGGTATGATTAAGAAAGATTATGGGTTTGGGTTTTGGATTATGAGTATGCCGGCAAGGAGATTTGGGTGATTAACAGACAAGATTTTGGCTTAGGCCTGATCCATCTGTAGTTGACTTTGTTGATTTTTAGTATTTCTATGCATTAACTCGATGGATTAAATGACGTAATTAAGAGTGGTGGACCAATCATTCCGGATTTCAATGGCAGAAGAATGTCTTTTCTTCTTCTTGGTCAAGTCCCGAAACTTTGTTCAGACAGTTTACTGGATATCACTGTGAGTGTTAGTTGGGCAGGTCACAGGTGGATTCCATCAGTAAAACAATTTTTTTATTTTTTTTAAAATATACTATTGGATAGATAAATAATAATAATAATAATAATAATAATAATAATAATAATAATAATCTTTTTTTTTTTTCTATAAGAAGCCCAATTTAAGGATTTCTTTTATCCAGTTTTTTTTTTTGGTGGGTGGGGGGTGGGGGTGGGGTTGCGGTTTACCTAAAGTTTTTTTGTCATAGAGCCTATGAGAATCTTAAGGTCATTTTCTTGTTGTTTTTGTTTCAAAGTTTCAACCTCAAATTTAAAGATTTATCATTGCTTCTCTTTTGAAAATTAATGGATAAAATAAATCGTGAGATATTTCTTAAATAATTCCTTTTCTTATTGGGTATTTTGTCTTTATTGTTGCTTGTTCTTAAGCAATTTTTATCATAAGAATCAAGTTTATTTTTATTCTACATATAAGTCCAATGAATTAATATTGTCAACCATTTTGTTATGTGAGGCCCAAAACCTTAATAATCATTGTTATACCATAGACCATAGTTCATATTGCATTGTGAATTTTGATACAAAAATTTTGTGCATGTCATTATCAGTTTTTGTACATGTAAACAAATAATTTGATAATTGCTAACACATAATATGATAGCTATAGGTACAAAAACTATCAACTACAACTATAGAATGTGTCAACTATAAATACAGAATCTGACTTGGGATAATTTCTGACACATAATATGACATCTACATATACAGAAATTATCAACTGCATATACGTAATGTGTCAACTGTAGATACAAAATCTGAAGGTTATTTTTGGACCAAGATCTACAATGTAAGGCAATTCATGGTATAATTTGCCCTTAATAACCTAGCCTGGCCTAGGGAGAGTCACAACAATTCCAAATGGTCCCAGATGCGTGTCACCTTAGTAGAAGCCAAGCATTATATCGTGCATCAGGGCGCACAATGTATTGTACGTCCTGGTCAAAACGACGTTGTTTTGGTCTTTTTTTTTTTTTTTTAATTTCATTTCTCGTTTCTACCGTTAACTTCAAAAAAAAAAAATTATATTTCGAATATACATAAACTCAACAAAATACACATAATACATAATACATAAACTTTAAACATAATACACATAAACTCTTAACAAAAATACACATAAATTCTTAATATAATATACATAAAATCTAAACATAAAAAACCACGTCGCATTTTATAACGATTGCGAGGCCGCCTCCTCTATTCTCATTAACTAGAACTAAAATACAAATTATTCTCCATAGCATTTTGCATTCCTTAATTATGTAATATTCTTCAATAGTAGTGAGACTATCAAATTATATATTCGCTGCATGGTTGTAAACATTCATAGGCCTTTGCGCCAGTTAGAACCTAACCCTGATGCTTAGGGTACAAAACCCAACAAATATAATTGCACCAAGTGTGAGAGGTTTTTTTTTTTTTTTTTACCACTCACTTAACCCAAACATGACAAGACACCAGTTCTAAGTTTCTAACTCATCTTTGGACACGTGTAAAAGGAGAAATAAAAGAAGAGAAGCTATTGGGGTTTAATTGTTTATTAGAAGATTATTGAGAATGAAAAGATTTCTTTATCAAGAAGTCCACTGCTCCGCGATTGTAGCTTAATGTAAATGAAATGAAACACCTAAATCTTTTTTCTGATTAACTTCTTCTTGCCCTTATAAATCATTTTCTCTACTAACACAATTTTGCACTTTTCTCTACTATCATCATTCATCATGCACCCAACTACTCTCCACACACTCCTCTTCTCCTTGTTCTTTGCACTTTGCGCGGCGGTGGCTTTCGCCGATCAGTCTCCAGCGCAGCAAAAAACCACAGCATGGTGGTGTATAATTATGAGGTGTCCAGTTGTTCCTTTGCTTCCATTGTTTCCTGACTTTCCTCCCTGGAACTTAAGTCCCCAACCTCCATGGTTCCAACCGCCTCTTCCGCAATTCGGCGAGCCAGCTACATTCCCGGTCGGGTACCTACAACCTCCGCCACCACCGTCGCACCATCATCATCACCGGCATCACCATTCACCATCAGATTCACACCGGCATCACCATTCACCATCAGTTTCACGCCGGCACCACCATTCCAGGAACCACCGGCATCCACCGCTGAGCTCCGCAACCAGGAACCACCGGCATACACCGCTGAGCTCCGCAACCAGGAACCACCGGCATCCACGGCTGAGCTCCGCCACCAAGAATCACCAGCATCCACGGCTGCGCTCCACAACCAGGAACCACGGGCATCCACGGCTGCGCTCCGCAACCAGGAACCACGGGCATCCACGGCTGCGTTCCGCACCCAGGAACCACCAGCATCCACCGTCAATACCACCGCTACCCTCCGCAACCAGGAACCACCGCCACCGGCATCCACCACTGCGCTCCGCAACCAGGAACCACAAACATACTAGCAACCAGTACCGCCTTCGCCAACCCCATAGCCATCCACCTCCAACGGAAACCATTACTGTAAAGCCGATACTGCCACCGTCACCATCGGCAGCAGTTGAAGACAGCCCACTAAAGCCATCGCTGCCGATACTGCCACCGTCACCATCGGCAGCAGTTGAAGACAGCCCACTAAAGCCATCGCTGCCGGCATCACCACCTCCAGGGAATAGCGAGCCTCCAATACCGCCGCCCGTCTCTACAAACCAAACAAGTGACTGCTCGATGGCACTGGTAAAGGGAGACGACGTATGCGTAGAAGACCTGAAACAGTCTGCTTCTGGGAATCAAATCCTCATAAAAAGAGACTGTTGCAAGATCATTTTACAACTTTCAGATGAATGCTTTCACAAAGCTTTCAAAAAGTTCAGTGACCCTAACTTCCGCAATAAAGCGAGGGCCTTTTGCGCTCCATAACCCACAATCAAAGATACCCCCCGAGTAGTCTCCCCCGTAAAATGTAAAGATGAGTCAATAATGTAAAGATTACATATTCTAAGCGTTCCTAATACAACAGAGCATTTTATCTATTAGAATTAAAAACCGGTCCTAAAAAGCACAAGCACATTCCATCTAAGCTGTGCATACTATATATACACAAGAAATTAATCACTACTAGATTATTCAGTTATGAACAACGACAATTAATCATTCTTAAAAGGGTCGAAATCAAAGCTAGCTAAGGCTCCTAGAGATCATTCAAACGCTATAGACATGAAGGTATCATCATCCAGCAGTGTCTCTATATCGAGTAGGTCCTCATCTTGGTAACTTGTATCTTCTGAACTCCCAACTACTCCGGTGGAAGCATCCTGTGTATAAAAAGAGGAACAAATGATTAAACCACTCCTAAAATAATATACTTTGCTTTTGCAGTAGCAACATGAAATTACGTGTAGTGTACTTATTGCCTCTCATCAATTAAATCAGGCTGAACAGATAACCAGTAAATAACTACTTTCTATTTAATTTAGACAAACAGATTTTCCAGACTTCAGATTTACTTTATGCAAATAAATAATTCACCTTTTAAGAAATTAATTGAAATTACCTTTGTTTTGCTGACCCCTTCAGTAGCAGTAAGCATCCTGCGATACTGTTCACGTGCCTCAGGATATTGAGCCATGGATTTCACCCGAGAAAGGGCCTTTTGCATTCTTTCTTCAGTCTGTTTCCTTCCCTCCTTCAGAAAATCATAATCATCTTCCGCTGATGCTGGCGTGTCTTCCATGACGATGGGTTTTGCAACCGCATCAGATTTGAACCCTCTCAAACCACTTCCTTTACGTCTCCATCGCAATATTACCTTCTCCAGAATTCCCACAGACCATATTATTGGCTTATATTTTTTCCTTGCTTGATGTCCCCTCACATGAGCCTAAAAAGTAGAGATTTCAGTATTGACAATCACATACTGAGCATATCAATTGCCAAAAATTGCATACCAAAAATAGAGAAAGGGGTAATTACCCTGTGGAATTTTTAAAAGTTTAAGATCAAGCAGTGGAGGCAAAAAGTATTTTAAAAGATGGGATTGTGTTCGAATCCAACATTCAACAACTACACATACCAAATAGAAATGCAAGCATAGTACCTAATGCTTTTAAGCCTTCATTAATAACCTTTTCACCAATGGTTGAAGGTGAAGAAAAATAAAAATTTATAATAGATTTTCAAATTAATATAGAATGAGCGGAAAAGAAAATGCACCTGAATTCTAACAACTCTTTGTCGAATTAAGAGGAACTCTTTTCTCTTCTTCCAACCACGAAACTTTTTCTGGATTTGTGTTGCAGCAGTGTGAGCAATTCGATCATTTTGCCCCAGCCTTGATGTTTTAGAAGCAACCATTGAAAGAGCTTGCTCATCGCTTAATAATTCACCATTATGTTCAATCAACTTCTTCCTCTGAAAGGACTGAACCCTGAAAATTTGATGTATGCGAGCAGCAGCCTGAGTAGCATTACGTACAGCAGCAAGTGAATCCTTCAGTGACACATCTGGCACATTATCAGTTGTTGGAACTGCCACACGCTCTGTAACGGTTTGTATCTCTTTTGTTTTTGAAGTGTCCAAAGCATTGTTTTCCTTGGCATCACTCACATCAAGTCTTGCAAGATGTGTGGTCAGGGAGGACTCAGCTAGAAAACCAGAAATTCCCTTGTTTCCATAGGCAGATGCCAAATCTGCAGGAGTTCTACCCAACGGAAATTCAGCAGAAGGATCCGTTAATGCTCCAGGAGATGCACCTAGAGAAACAAGAGTAGCAACAGTCTCCTCCCTGTAAACAAGACAGACAAGGTTTTATAAATGAGGTCTGAAATGGATAAAGCACCCAAAAGATCATTACAAATCCAGTAACATCTATGGAGTAAATGCTCCGTGTGTTTTAGAATAAGATTACATAAATACTACAGGCCTTTATCCAG